GCCCCCTTTCCCCCCACCCCCCTGGTGGCTTCCGTCTCTCTGAACCACTTCTAGCGGCTCAGTTGACGCACAAAACCCGCACCATTATGACGCCCTTCCCCCCATAAGTGTCCCCTCAAGCCCCCTAGACCATCCCCCCTCCCCCCCAAAGAAAAAACTAAGACCAGAACCCGCTTCCCGACTCGCAAAGCCAATCTTCGATCTGGCCCGCTAGAAGGCGTTTTGGCTGTGGCCAATAATAGTGGGATGGACCCTGCCTCCGGGCCACTAGTCGTCGAAAGTGGTACGACTTTTTCGTCAAGAGAGATGAGCCCATACCCTCCCAGACCCAGCTTCCCCCCCCCATACTGCCCATACTACGGTGCCCTCCGATGGCCTCGGCAACCCACTGTAAACCTTGTGCTGCAAGATGGGAATGGAGCTTCTTTTAGTGGTTTGCTCCCAAAAAAAACCCCCCATGGCCAGCCAGTCTTGGCCTTCCGGGTGAGCTTCCGGTAACGTGTTCGAGTCAGTTAACTGCAGTCGGGACTCGGACTGGTCGGCTTCTGAGATCTGATGTTGGTTCGCATCTTTTCTCTCGAGCAGTTGTTGTTACCTGCACAAAACGACCTCCGAAGTTGTGCAAATACACACGTCGCACGGCCGCTTTGCCAGCGCCAGGCGTCGAGGAAAGACAAGCTAGTGCTGTCTCGCTGACACTGAGTCCATCTGTTCTGCGTCTCGCACTGCCGAATTAGGGCATGGACAGCCTCTGAGGCTGCTGTTTTGTCAGGGTAACTTAGCTAGTTCGGTAGCCCTGTCTACCCTACTAGGTACAGGCGCCACACGCCGCTGTACGGGTGGGAAGCTCCAGTGGCAACTCGTGGAAACCCTTGGCTCAGCTATGGCTTCAACGGTCTTTTTATAGAGATTTACTCTGCGAATACGCATACGCGATGCGCCCTCTTTTCGACGCCGCTTCCATGGCCATTCCCGGATGCGCTCAGAACGGGGTAGATCGAACGTTTGCGACTGCATGCAGGCATAATCAAGGTTACTGCGCTCGTGATAGCTCACAATACGAGAGCTGAGGAGATCTGGCACGGTGAGAATCGCTGTGGTCAAAGCGTTTCTCGGTCAATCTACCATCCCTAGAGCATAGGACGACCTGCCGGAGTAAAGTGCGTGGCACACAGATTAGAGGTCCTGCTAAGGTGAATTATGTACAGCCAAACAAGCAGCAAAGATGTAGCCGTCGTTTACTGTCTGTCTTGTCTGCCGACTTGGCGTGCAGTATCTTAACACCATCGTCGAAGACCTACGAAGTACGAAGTAAGTAGGTGTGCTGTGCCAGACCGGATGCTTACTTTGGTATGATCTTAGTCCTGATGGTTCTGCATTAGTCGCACCGTCACACCGTCTTCGCCTCTAAGGGTTATCCATAACAGATCACCACCGGCAGAGAGATCGGACAACAGTTCCTACGTGTTTACCTATGGTCCTTCTTCTCCTCATGCCTCGAGTTTCACCTCTACCGGCCATCGTCCTGACAATGTAAGGTGAGGGACCGAGATTGCACCTGTGAGGTAACTCTCCTATTCCCCACCGGGCTCACACTCCTGGGCGGTCCCAGCATCTATCCCCATCCCGGAACAATCCTAGCACATCTGTCTCCATCCCAGAAACCAGATTTCGTTTGCTTCTCGAGATCCACTCCCGAGACTCCCCACACCCTCGTCTGGCTCCAAGGTCCAATGTCAGGGACAGGGGGGTGAGCAACAGGCCCTGTGCAGTCTTACTGGGTTCACCCCTGCTACTGCGGAATGCACTCCTCTGCACCAAACCAAAAGGGGGGCCCTGGTCATCCGTCGCGATAATTGCATCTGGCTTCCATCACCCCCCCACCCACACGCGAATCTGGGTTGCATTGGTGGGTCTGCGCCTTGGACGATGTGCCCGATTCCCACACATCAACATCTCAGAAGCTAAGGTGGGTGGACAGGGATTGATCCTGGTCCAATGATGCAGAGGATGCAGAGGGGATGCCATGCTTGCGGCCTGTAGGAAGTGCAGAAAAGCCTGGACAGTTGAGCTTGCGGCGGCGAGAGGTACCTGATGCTTGGCTGCAAAGGGCGTGCTGCATCGTACGTACATGCTCACTTGCAGATTGGATCTGTGATTCCTTTGTAGACTACGTACTTGGCAGACAAAGTTCCCTCACTTCACCCTGAAACGGGAGTCCTGCGGGAATGCTCGTCCGGCACCCAGACCAACTCACGACGTACGTCTGCTTGCAAGAACGGGGAGACAAGCGACTCCTGCCGGCCGACTGCCCCTCTCGACACCCTTGCGAGGTCGACGGGCAGAGAGACTGGTGGCTGTGTGGTGTTTCCTGTCGATATCACCGCATCCGGGTTCACTCGGTGCGCGCTTCCCAAGTCCCGTGGACATGATCTCGCGGTTCATCGATCCCCGTTGTGTATATGTGTGTGTATAGCTACCTCCCTTGTGTATGTACTAATGCATGAATGAATGGACGAATGCATGTACATGCAAGTTTGTGCTCCCCCATCAAGACCCTGCCCTCCCCTCAAGAATGCACCCGGAGATGCAGTTACACACCCACACCACCCAAGAGATCTGGCTGCCTTTTGCTTCATGGACTGTGGTTCCCTTCGTCATTGCGTTGGATCGTCTTCGTCAAGCTGCCAGCTTATCGTGGCAGCCAAACCCTGGCCACCCCCCCCCTATCGATCGTGTCCCGTCTCGTCCTGTCCTGCCTGTCCTTGTCCTGACCACCTATGTAACCGTGGATATCCACATTCACACATACATGCTATCCGTTTCTCGGGAATTGTTTCTCCTGGGCCATCTGCTGTTCTGCCTTGCACCACCTTACCTTAATCTTGCGCTTTAAACCTTACAAGCCTCCGTCCTTCTCGAAGCTTTCCTTGCTCTTCTTCCCCTTCTCCCCCCTCCCGCTTGGTTCCCATCTGACTCTCCAGCTGCCGTCCCTGGATCACCACCCTGGCCTCTGATCTGGGAATGGGACGGTGATTACCCGAGCTCTTGGACACAGGGCTTTTGGCTTGGACCTCTCTCTCTCTGGCCCGCGCTCTCTTTCTCTCTTGGTGACTTGCGCTGGCCCTTGTCTAGCCACCCTCGTAACTGCACCTAAAAGCTGCCTGGCGTCATTTCCTACCGTGGTTGCCGAATCCTTCAACCGCGGCGAATCGCGCATTCCCTCCTTGGAAGACACATGACAGGCCCGTTTAATGCCCTCCAACTCTCGAGAAAGAAGGGCTCCAACGGCCGCCATCGAAACCAACATCCATACACTCCATCCATCCTTCGACATCATCTCCACCAGCGGTCGGCGGCAATAGATTAGCCAATTCTACGCAGCCAACACCAGAGACCAACACCCTCGTTGGCGAACAGGTGAATGACAAAGCGTTTCCCAAAGCCAGGTAAGAAGCCGCCAAGAGCGTCCGTATTTGCTCCCCCTTCTGCCCCATCCATCCCCTCGCAACCACCACATCACTGGCGCGATCGACGGATCTCATCTTCGGCCACAGTCAGAACTCGGCCTAGCTCCCAGGTCCATCCTCGGCAAGCCAGTCCTTTGTTTTGTTTGGCACTCCAAACATCGTCACCCCGCCCTGTCGCGAGATCCAGACTCAGAGCAGGTCTACGCCATCTGAGGCCAAGTGGTATTGCCTGCACACCCCGGCAGGGCTCTTCGGCACCTGTCTCTCGAGGTCTACTAGCTCCATCATCTTCTTCTCCTACTGCCTTTGGCACCATCGTGTCCCCCTCTTCACCAAGCAGCAGCCGCACCAACACCCTCTCAGACACATGCAGCACGCAACACTGGCACCGCAACCGGACACGGGCGGCTTACACGGACCAGGACTCGATACAAGATACCGGCTTCCAGGGACGGGACCCTCCCAACAGCTCCGAGACGAAAGAATAACCGTCCACCCAAAGTCCCAAATCCCACAATCCACAACCCAGGCCCGCGGATTGCTGTCCGACCCACTTGGGGCCCAAATTGAAGGGTGGGAAAACAACGCCGCCACTCTCGTGGGTTGCATGACCCCCCGGCTCCCTTCTAAACCTCGCGCTTGAGGAGCCTGGCGGAAAAGAAGCTTTGAACACCCAACTGCTCGCCAAACCCACCCGTCTGATCAGATCTATCTTAGTGGGACCCGCCGCTAGTGCAAGAGACCCTCCCTCCACCGAGAGCGAGCCACCAGGCTTCATTAGCCAAGCCACCGTCACCGTCACCGTCACCGCTAGGTACCCTTCCCCAATCTCACACGCCGGCTTATCCTTCCCAGGCAAGTTCAGCCCTGGCCCAGCGTGTTGCTCCCTCTGTGCCCACTGGCGTGACTGCTACCTACCGACCGGCCTACCCTACCCTGCAACCTGGTTCCATACTTGATCTGGACACCTCCCACCACGTTTTTCTCGCACCCTCTCTCTTCAACTCTTTAACATCCCTTCTTTTCTTTTGTCTATACATAACCGCAGCTCCTGTCCTTGTCTTTCCTTGGTCCGAGCTGTCACCACCTATCACGACCAGAAGCTTACCTCAAGCTTTGCAGCACCCAGCAGACCAACAACGTCAACATTACAACGAAACATAATAATACCACCCTCGCTCCCTCCCTCCCATAGGTCGACTCTGAGCTTGACAACTCTTGCTGCTCTACTTTTCGGGATCAGATGTGTAGGGGCTGCAACTGGCTCCGCCCCGGATCTTGTTCACTTTGGAACGAAGCACTCAAGTCCCGCTATGGAAGCGGGCGGACTTGCTAACAGGCAAAGGTTGGTGCCGACTTGGGGAGCGTTGCTGCTGGCCGATTTTTTTTCGACCGTGCGTGTTGGGCCCTGCTAACACACAACCCTCGCTGTGAAGCGGTTTCACCTCTGCTAGCAACTCTGATCGAGATCGATACGACCAGCGCCCGAGAGACCCCGCGGACAGGTTACCTAGAGAAGGACCATCCAATATGGCCACAGCCGCCCTCATGACGCCCACAACGCCTTACAACCCTCATCAACCCCCGTCGGGGTTTCCTCCCTATCACAGCACACATGCAGCGAGTGGCCCCGGCATGATCTCTCCCGTTGATTCGAGGAGGACGTCTGACGACACGGAGAGCTCACATCGCCAATCTCTTCCTTCTATCCAGGAGGTCATCGGCGTCAAGTCATCGTCTTTCCCGCCTCAAGCACCTGCCACTGCCATGACGGGCTCACAAGGCCTTCCCTCCCCGTTCGCCTCCACCCACTCGCGGCACTTCTCCGACATGTCCCAGGAGAAGAACCCGTCCCCCAGAACGTTGCACCCGACATCCTCTTTCCCTCGAGCCGATCCTGCACCTCCTTTCTCAGATAGTCGGCCCCCAATGTCATCCCGGCCTGCACCTCCTCCGCCGCCGCCGCCTCCTCAACCCCTCGGCGCGTTCTCGCGGTCACAGCCTTCACCACCGACGAAGCTGGACCAGCACCCGATACAACGGCATCACGAACCTGAGCATCGTCTTGTCGAATCCCACCAACCCAATGGCGGCTACTCTCACCCACCCCCTCCGCCGCCGCCCGCTGCATACCCGCCGCCCGGCCAGCTACCACCAGGCCAAATGCCCCTTCCAGGTTATCCCATCTCGCCACCTCGCCACGGAGCTCCTTTTGATCCCCAGCGTCCACCGCTCCACCCGGACGAGAGAGACTACAATGGCAGAGACAAGTACGAAGCCACTTTGAACCGCCATTTCGAGGCATGGAGTTATGCGGAATATCTTGCCAAGGTATGTCCCCGCCGAACAACGTCGTATGCAGGGAATCACTCACTAACTCGCGTCTAGATCGGATCCGCCGCTCGAACAGTGTACAACTTTGCCGACGCCTACGGGAGACTGGCACAGGAGGAACATGGTGCCCACCCGATCCCACAGAGGCTACCGAGCGATCGTGAGCTCGCCGACATGGTCAGCAACGCCGAGTGGATTAAGAATATGCTTGACAACATCAGAAATGTGGTTCAGCAGAGCATTATGAACGAGAGGGCACGAGAAGGCGCAAGACCGAAACCACCAATGGAAGAAGAGGACGCCACAATGTACGATGCCAAGTCTGGTTACGGGCACCCAGAGGTGAAGAAAAGGCGTAATGTTAGTCTCTCTAATTCCTGGACGAAACAGCATCGTTCGCTAATCATGTTCTACAGCGTGCTGCACCGCCGGGTCGGTGTCATAGCTGCAATAGGATTGACACGCCCGAATGGAGGCGTGGGCCCGATGGCGCTCGCACACTCTGCAACGCCTGTGGACTTCACTACGCCAAGCTCGAACGCAAGAGACAGCTAGAGCTAAGGTCGATACGCCCCCGGCCCTCGGAGGAACGAAGTTGACAATGAACCAGACTTAATCCCACCACTAATTAATACGAATGGTCCGGTTCAGACCTCGGCAACTCGACGACACCTATGATTGGGGACTTTTCAGCCGGCATGGGCTTATCGCCTTCATTGCCACAAAATCAAAGCTTTCAGCAGGCGTGCATGGGTGCTTTTCTCGGCAGGAACACAAAAGAAAAAAGCTATTATTGGCGTGTATTGAATATTGGAGCCTCGCAGGGCTCATGGGGGTCGCCACTCGCAGGCTGGCGACGCAGACTCTGTACATACATCACCTTACCTATGGGATATCCGGCAACGGGGCGGATGGGCGGGGCTACGGCATCATGCGGCGTTTTATATCTCTATCACTTGCCTGCTCTTATTCTCTCTTTTTATCTTACCGTCTATAAAACATCTCTTTTGTTCTGGTGTAACCTTTTTTTTCTTTTCTTTTTTGGTCTCTTCCTCCTACTCGGGTTGGGGGTATCATGTTTGTAGAATGGGGAACTTGTTCCAGGCCGACGATGAAGCACCGGACGTGGACGTGGAGGCGGAGACGAGCCTGATCGCCCCTCTTGCTTTGCTGGGCCGTACATGTACCCGCTATCTATCAGCGAACAACCCTGCAGCAGCAGCAGGGTTCCTTTGGCTTCTGGATCCAAGGCATGGACACTTTGACACAATGGCATCTGGAGAGTGGACAAACGCCACAGCACGTCGTTGCGGGACTCGATGGTTCTTTTTCTTTGCGGCACTTTGCATTGAACTGTTCGTTCTGTGGGAAAACGGAATGATCGACAGATGGCAATGTGGGGGATGGGGGGCCTATCTATTGTTATTTTCTTTCCCCCTTCTATTGGATTCTCATGTGGATGCCCAAAATATCGCCTCCCCCCCCCCTTTTCTTTGGATTCTCTAACCGATATTCTCTTTTTTTCTACATTTTGATATATATATATATATATATACCCGATCTTTAGCGTGGAAAGAAGAGTGGGAAAAAGGCAAGACGTTGGTGATGGGAAGAGGAAGAGAGAGAGAGGAGAGAAAGAGAGATCCAATATGAGACTTGTTTTTCTTCGTTGAAACGTATGTCTTTCCCCTTGCGGCAAGCAAGCCAAGATGCAACAGTAAATGATCATGATATGGTTACTGGTGGTCAGTTGTTTTTTTTTGGGATTCCCCGGTACTGCCAAAACATCGGACCCAAAGTACGGATCTGCGCGGCACTGCCAGACGCCAGGTTTGCCGGGCATCTCTTGGCGTTAGTTATTAAGGGAAGATCGATATCCGTTATGATTCATGCATTCGTATGATCTGCTCTTCTCCTGACTTGCATCACTTCTTCCCACGGGATATCCCAATTGTTGAGCAGTCTAGAGAGGAGGTGATCGTGGAGATCGACAGGTACATAGAGAGAGAGAGAGCTTGGAACGTTTACGGTTGTACGGCCAGCACTAGGATCGCAGGGTACCTAATGTACCATGCCGACACAGGCGAGATTTTGTGGGCTTTCTTGTTTTAAAAGTGGTACATGACGATGGTGAAAAGGGCCACCACATACATGGGGGGCGGGGGCAGGCAAAGACAGGCCCCAGAATGGCAAGAAACGGTGCCCAAGGCGGAGGCGGAGAGGAAGAAGGAAAAGAAAACACACACAGGATCAATGCTCGTAAAGGGGAGAGAGTCAAGGATTCGATTCAACCAAGGGAAAAAAATAAAAATAAAAAGGGGGGCGCTTTAAGCAAACAGGGTTTCAATAGATTGATCGCGGTTAGCAGTCCATTGTCCACACTTTCGGCGGCCGGCGCGCGGCGCTAAAAGGGGGGAAGGGGGGACGTTCCCCAACGGCTTTGCGGCGGAACCATACCCATACAAAACGGACGACGATCGGGACTTGTCGCGCGATCTCACAAGATTTCCTGTCTCTCTCTTTCTCCGCCGGGCTCTTCCTTGCTTAGTTAAGTCGATGGCTCGGAATGTCGAGTCTGCATAATAAAACCGGGGGGCCCCTGCTGAACTCTGAGCAGAAGAAGTGAAAGATGCAGCGGAGAGCAACGATATCCGCACGAAGGATCTAGTAGTGGAACACTCAGATGGGGAACCGGGAAAGGGGACTCCTGGTGAATAGGTGTTCGCTAATGGAACCCCCCCTTCCACTGCTCGAGATCGAGCTCGTGTGAATACCTCATCCGGGGGGGCCCAGGGTCGCATGCATGCTTTGGAAACGAATCGCAAAGTTGAGCGCAGCATTTTTGCTGTTTTGAGCACTAGCATGGCCGACAGTGCAGAGGGGGGGGTCGGAGATTTACCCATCAGGTACGATCTGCCAATGGTGTGACAAGATAAGATCCTGGAATGAGGGAATATGGGGGGCCCTGCAGAGCTGGGAGCTGGGAGCTGGGGCTGGCGGCCGGGGTGTGGGTAGATCATTGTTCTGTCGGGGGTTTTACAAGGTAGACTGTCCCTCCCAATCGCGGTTCGCTGGTTGCTGGCACCCGGACGTCGCTCCGGATGGCGAACTCCAAGCGATGAATCAAGATGAACACTAATTCTTGATGAGCAGGAGCAGCTTTTTTGTCGATCGTATGTGGCGCAGCCCTGAAATGCAATCAGTCCGTGTCTCCTAGGAAAGAGCTGCCCTGTCAACGTCATCATCGTCGGACATTGCAAGAGCGTCAAGGCCGGGATCGCCATTCGCGCTCTTGAGACGTAGGGAACTTCTGTGAGGGCTTTGTTCCTTTTGCCTACGGCGGCGCGGCTTCGGGCCCTGCCGTGTGATGTGACTGATCAGATTGAAGCACGCTATTCGGGCGCAGGTTGAACTGGAGTTTCCGAGATTGTCACTCCAGGAAGCCGCTCTACCATCCGGTTGGGCGTTCACGTGCTGAATGTTGACCGACAGTCCGACAGCACACTTTGTCGACTTCCGGCTTTTCAACTTGATCCCTTTCACGTTCGGGACGAAGACCGTGATCCTTCAGGCTCGTCTTCGATCATAGCGTGGCAAATTTTTCTCTCGAGACGCCGATCATTAGGCACGCACTGATGAGATCGACGATCACACGGGAAAACAGCAGGGGAAAAAAGACGCGCGGATGGCCCTGGCGAACCGCTGTCAATTTTGTTTCCAGTGCCGCTAGGTGATCATCGGTTCTGGTCTAGACGGCCACGCTACCGTGTGATTGTCTAGACCGCGAGGTGCATTCTTGTCTGCCCCGGTCTCACAGCGTGCATTAGCTGACGCTGGAGCGAGCAAGGATGTGTTGCTGTCCTCGCGCACCATCTCTGTGTTGACCATCTGGCATTTCCAGATGCCAGGTCAGCAGGTCTGGTACCAATCCGATGCCCGCTTCGCATGTATAACACGGTTCCCCAGCAGGGCGCAGTGATACAAGCACCAAATAGTTATGTGATGTAACGGTATCAGTGCGTAGGTTTGGGTGTACTTGTAATGGTCGAGGCGACTGTTTCCGAGATCTAGGTGCCACATAGGAAATGATCGACCAACCTATCAGCACAAGGCATGTTGAAGAGGGGTGCATGGTTTTCATCGTCTGGCTCTCGCGCAGGCAGGCAGGTGAGCTACAGGATCGCCGTGCGTGCGAGAGGAGCCAGCATGCAAGACTTGAAGCAAACGCGAGGTCGTGTTGCAGCGTCTGGCAAGACGTGGCGAGCCGCCGGTGAAGTTATATCAAGGCGGTTGAGTCGGCCCTTGAACACCGATTGTGAGAGGTGATTGATCAGTTGTCAGATTCGTCAGGAGTCCGGACTCGGCCTAGATGGGCTTCCCAAGTGAGCATCACACGCCACGCATATGTGCGCATATGTGCACACATGGCGAACAAAGCCAGCTCGAAACATAACGGTCTGGCTGGGATGCCAATCTCCACATACCGTTTTGTCCGTCTCCTGTTACACGTCAAAAAGCCCGTCCTTCTCCTCCTGCCTCCCGCAAAGGCCCCTCCCTCTGCCGCTCTGTCAGGGGTTGTCGCCAAGACCCATAGCCAAGGTGCTTTGCCGTCCGCAGGATGGTGGCCGCATAACAGCTCGCATGAGACGTGCAGCAGGCATCGAGACGCGGCGCAGCCATTATCGTCGCTGTCGGAATGGAGGTGATACCTAGGTAGGTACCCTTTGGTCAGTTGAATCTGGGTAGAGCCCTCCCAGAACCCTCATTCACAACTGTTGAGGCTATCCAGCCCGTATGTTCTGCCATGTTCGGTAAGGTGCGAAAGAAGGAGAAGGCGTCAGCTCAGGTGGAAGATTCGCGATGTTTACTGAGGAAGGTAAAGGGCGAAAGGGAAGGCGCGAGGCCGTCGAGCCCTTGCAGAGACTTAGGAGGCAAGTGCGGGCGCCGTTGTGAACTTCCTCGCGAGCTTCCAGTGTTGCTGTGGGCAGGTGCAGATCAAGGGTCCGGACTAGGCTCGCAAGCGTTGGTTAGGCGAGAGACCTGTCATATTTCTTCCAAGGTTCCCATCGCCAGCACGACTTGACCGTACTGGTTTCGCTGTCCACATCGTATCGGCGTGGCTGCTGATCGCTCCTCTGGATCACAACAGAAAAGCGATCGATGGGATGCCATCAACTAGTGTGTGTCCAGACTTGCCAACCATGCACCTGCTTCGAGATCTTTTAGTCACCCACGCCACGAAAGCAACTTTGCACATCCCCACCCATGTATATCCCCATTCCTGAGCGACGGCGAGCTATCTACTGCAAGCCACACCGACTAAGACTCTCAAAGATTGGCACTATGTCTCATTCTCACCGAATTTGTCTCGGCAGCTTCACGCTCGGCGTACTCGCTGACCCCGCCAACGAGTTCGCACTGAGGAGGAAACGCAGAGGTCTTTGACCGCGCACGAAGCGTGCAATCCTTGCCAGTTTTCGCCGGGGAATTACTGGATGCGGCAATGATAGCTCTGATCATGCCAGTGCCCATGCAGGAAAGAAAGACGCGGCATAGGTTTGCTGATCAGCCCGCTAGAAGGGACGTTCAACACGCCAAT